AATGTCGATCATGTGAGCTTAAATAATGCAATGTGATTGGTAATTTCAGTGATCGCTGAAATAGAGGGCTCTGATTGACTGATGTTGACGGACGGACATTCCACTCTAATTTATCTATATGATGATTATGCTGTCTACAAATTAGTTATTAATAATCTATAAAAAATGTCTCTAAAAGTTTATCCATAAGCTGCTACTTTGTATATATAAATACTTTAACCAACAAAATTTTAATAGCTTTTTAGATAGAAGTTTGTAATTAAAAACTGCTTCCTTTATTAATTCAATAAATCTAACATCTGCAATTATCTGAAATCAAATTTATTCAAATTATTATATCATATTTGGATTATTAAAATCAGTCAGATAAAAAGTTCTATCTAGCTAAATAACTTTACTTAGAAGCTGAGTGTCAAGTTACTTAGTAAATTTTAGAGATAATGTCACAAAAAAATTTTTCTTCTTGTTCATGTTTTGGTGAAAGTGATCTGCGGAAAGATTTCTTAAATATAAATGTTTGTATTTGTGATTGCAATTCTATTTATAAAGCTGGCCAACATAATTGGTTAACTTTGTAAACACAATCTCAATAATAACCCCAATCAATTTATTTGCAAAGCGCAATAATATTAACAGATATCATTAAAAAATAAAAAAAGGGTTCTGTTTCAAGCATCCGGTATATCAATATGTTACAATGAACAATGCTTTAGAGGCGGTATCCATAATTTACGTTAAGCCAGTACTGTATTGTATAGAAATAGGGATCTTGATGATAATAACATATGGTATTATTTTTGGATTATCTTTTAAGATTTCTATAACAATACTGGTTTAACGTTTAACGTAAATTATGAATGCCGCTAAGTGTAAATATATATTGTGTATATATACTGTATACTAATTTGGAAGACAATACTACGAATTGCTAGTCTAATAATATTATGAACGACTAAACTAGCTAGTTTGAGCAAAAACTAAATTGGGAGCTAATATAATATTAATATCATATAACATTTATTATATCGATTGTATCGAATAAATAATTAATAAGTTAATGAATTTAAAAAAAAAGTTTCACTATATCAAAGTATATATATATTGAAAGTTTACAATAATTAGAATAACTTATAATCGGTTGAAATAAAAAAGTGCATTAGAATGGTTGTTCAATATTTAAAGTAAACATTTGAAATGTGTAAACTTTAAATTTGGTGATGGATAACATTTATTAACTAATAAAACTTAATTCGATTCGTAATCTTTTTTTTATTCCTTCAAATCTGGTAAAACACCAGCATTTTCCCATTTTAAACATTCCATATACTTTGCGTCTAATTCTTTAATTTCGCAATTAGGGCTAATTGAAACGGCATTAATAGTTGGCTGAACAGAGTTAGGAGTATCTTTAATATTTTTATCAAGCGTATGCTGCTTAATAAAATCAACAGCTCTTTGCATTGAAAAGTAAGCGATTTTTTCAAAGGGCATGAACTAATCACAATGAAATATATGAAAAGAATTATATATAAATTTAATTACAAATGTATATATAAATATACTAAAGAAATGTAAAATTAGATTGAATAAACTTACTTGAATACAATGACATGCTTCATCATAAACTTCAAGTGTAACTTCTGTGGGCTTCTTAAATGGGGAATTTTCAAAATTAGTAGTAGCATACTTAGGTATTTGATATTTACTTGGATCAGAAGCTCTAAAGCTAAGCAAAACTCCAGCATCCCGTAATCTATCTCCACCACCTACTTGCTATATTATAATCAAGTGTTAGCGTCGTTTATTATTGAAGAATAATATAATGATAAAAAATGATTATAATCGTATATTTACCATTAAAATAGGTGGTAAATTTCCCAAACTTTCAGCTAACATTGGACTAACATAAGGAATGGCCAAAGCTTCATTCGCACAATATAATCTAATTCTTGGAAATTTGGAAAAAGAAGGGTGACCGACCACATTTGGCTTTTTTTGTTTAATTCTTTCCGAAACAATTTTGACACGTTCAAGATATTCAATTGACATGGGACATGGTGGACCAATCTTAGGAAAGATTAGCAAATTGGGGACGTGATCGGATTTATCCATTTCAGGGTCCAAGAATGATGGCATACTAGATGTTAAATCTACCCATGGAGACTTTTGAAAAATTTATTAATAAAGTGAATTGTTAATCAGTTAAGTAAATAAAATTAATTATATAAATTAATTATAAATAAATATATATATATATACCCATAAAATAACTCCAGCCGGTGGTGGTAAACCAACGTCACGAATAAATAGCGCAGTACCCATAGCTAATCCACCGCCAGCACTAGATCCAGCAAAAATAATTTTTTTAGGATCAGTTGGTTTAAATTCAGAGTTTGGACCAGGGTTAAGAAGATATAAATATGCAGCTATAGCATCGCAAAGTTGAGCAGGAAATTGATGTTTTGGATTAAGGCGATAGTCAAATGCTAATAAAGTAAATTAAGTTTAATGAGTTAATGAGTATATTAATGTTATGACATTTATATAAAGAAAATTAAAGAAAATTAAAGAAAAATAGATATATTACTAAAAACAGGGCATTCAGCCTTTTCAGCAATTTCACAAGTAAGAGAGCGAGCTTGTTTAGCACAACCCATATAATAACCACCACCGAAGAAATAAAGTATGACATTTCCTGTATCTTTACAATCTTTAACTCTAATCCATTCACCAGATAATCCGTCATCAAAGCATTTCCAATTTTCATCCAAAACATCCTCATACATTTTTAATCCATGCTCTAAAAAATCTTTGCTTTTCAGCAGGAATTGATCATCTAATTTAATCTCATTCGCGATGTGGGTGTCCGGAAGTGTTGTGGGCAGGGCATCTAAAGCATGCTTTGCTTCTTCGATGGACTTATCTTCAAGCAATTTAAAACTCTGCCGAAGTTGTTCTAACACCACATAATATTGAGGTGAAAATGAGGTTTGAGACATTTCGTATACAATTATTATTCACAGTCGTTTAACTAGAGTGAATATGCTTCACAAATTCCGATAATTAAGTCAAAAGTTCTATTGAAAAATATTACAATAAATATAAATATATGTATAAAAAATTTTTTTTTTTGATTAACCGAGTGTTTTTTTATTACATTAATTAGATTAATTAGGGATAGCATAGCCGGCATATGCAAGCTGGCCAGTATTATGCAAGTTGGCTCGAATTATAAAAACTGACATGCACATATCGATATGCTTATCTCTAGATATTATTCAATAGATAGTGATCAGGTATTTTTAATTACCTGAAATTTGGTGATAGACAAATTCCTATGGATTAAGAACACGTTTATAATTTCCAAGCAATAGATCGAATAATTATCTATTGACGTATGGAGAATTGATTTTAAGAAAAGATTTATTTAACTCTTTATATACTGTAGATTTGAAGCATTTGAGGTACTGTACATACATACATACGTACATTTAACGGATTTGATATTCGAAAGTCTGGATTTTTTTGTTTACATTTTTGGTTTAATTAAACGGTGTATCTATATGAAAATAGAAAAAAAAAACAATTAAAAAATAAACCAATGAGAGGACAATATTAAAAAGAAAAACACATCAAAAAGGGCAACAGCTGAAAATAATCTATAAAAAAAGCCCAACAATCGTTAGACATTATAAATGTTAAAATTGTTAAGCTTAATTTCTAATTATTCTAAAGAAAGGTTCGTGTAATATATAAAATTAATATGTCGAACTGGTGGTTTTTAAATTCGTTGGTAATACATTAACGTGCAGATAGATTCGCACGTAGGCCTTGCAAGAATCGAATAGAGAAACAAACATTGATGCTATTCCGTATCTAACCGTTAAAGGTTGCCATGAGGTTACTATCATTGTAAAATTTAATATGTAGTAATCCTATTTTATATTTAAGGTTAAATAACTGTGGAAAATAATGTGTAGCACTCGGAATTTTACATAATCCATTGCATTCGGAATTTTGATATCCATACCAAATTTAGAGAACTGGATAAAGAGAAACTTCTCTAAATTCACAAAACTTTGAATAACGTGCATTTAGAGAAAAAGCACATTTATAGAATATATTTGGGCCAGGATTTTGAGTGTACATTTAGAGATGTCGTGTATTTAAAGAGGATGTACTTAGGAGATTTCTCTGTATCGACATCATGCAATTTATGGATATACCAAATTGGGTGTGGAAGTGCCAGTTCACTAAATATATTCATTTGTCAATAACGATAATACATTGAAATCATGAAAAATCTTGGTAAGATATTATTGACAAAGACTTCGAATAGACAATTTAGTTTATGATTTACACAAGATTGTCTTTATGCTGTTATGCATAACTGATAATTAATCAATGAGAATACAAAGATTTTGCTATGTAACAGATATACATTTTTGTGTAACACACATGAGGTAAAAAAAAATCATGTAATATTGTTTGTCGTGAGTTTAAAATTCCATTGTATCGATATCGTCATCGCCAGACTACTAAAATGAGATAAACCATACTCAAACCTTTTGATTAACATTAAAGATGTATGAAAATTAATAAAATTAATAAACCTTTAAAAAATGGGGTTGAAATATATTATTGTATGATTTTGTACGTGTATATAAAGCAAAAAAAAGTTTTTTTTTGTTATATTGTCATAATATATAGATTTTTATCAATGGCTATGTATACATTATTACAAAAAACTAGCTAATTAGTCAGTATGGGGTATTCTAAGTAAAAAATGTTCTACGCCCCTAAAAACCCTTCCCAAACACGAACCCGAATG